TTCAAAAACTTCTATACTTCATCTCAATCGCTACATTTTAAGCAATGAAAATGTAAGCATTTATAATGTTAAATGATTTAATGCAATTTTTCTAAGTGCTGGACACATGAATCAGCTCATTACCTCAGCTGAGCTATAGGAGGTACAGCCAACCATAAATCTGGTTGCTTTCTGTCATTCCAAGCCTCCAGAACCGATCGCAACATACCCCAGAGCTCTGAGATGACGTGTCCAGATGATATTTTTACTACAAATAAATGAGTTCTCTCTTTCAGAACACTAGGACACTAAGCCCACGAAGCACAAGCTCTCTGCCAAAAGGCAGTGGAGCAATCCTTGGAGTAGAGAAGCTACGCCGTGCCCTCGGGATATTAGCCAGCAGGCAATACTGAGGAGCTGTGGTGATTTTACAAAAGAGCCTGGAGGCCAAGAAACTATAGCTGCGAGATTGCTTCAGAGGCTCCCTGGGTGGTTCACCTGGAAGCCAGGAGACTAAACCCACTGGTAGGTGCAGATAGTTATGGTGGTGGGACCAGAGAAATATTCAAAAAAATAAATAAATTAAATATAGAGCATATTTTGCTGAGTTAGCCACGTTGCACCAAACACAAACCAGTTAACAACGTGAGGAAGTTACCAATGCTTTTATGGAAGAAGCTTAGCTGTTTACTTATTTATCACTAATGTTATATTGCAGCATATTTATACAATATTTAAAAGAAGACGTGAGCCTGCTATTTATTCATGAGAAGATATCCTGTAGACCGAAAGAGTTCGTTAGCACAGCATAGAGCTATTAACAAGCCAACAGGAATTTTATCTTACTCAACTCTCGCCTCATCCCCAAGCTAACAGTGCAGAGAGACGCTCTCCATTTCTTTTCATTCTTAAGCCTAAAACAGTCTCAGGTGGTTCCCAAAGTCTATTTATTGTAACCTACTGCCTACACAACCGATATCAAGACAAAGCAATCATCCCTTCAAACATTTTCCGTTCATTAGCAGCCTAAGGTAGCCTTGCAAAGGGAAACGATCTTACTGCCTACACCAATCCCAACCTCGGTAAGATTTCTCTCGGTAAGAGAAACTGGTTTTGAGATACACTCGAATGCTAACAGCTGGATGTGGACAACCAGTAAAGGAAAGATGTAGATTCAGATCCACAAAGGAAAGATCAATGCACGTGTTTCCTCTGCGTCAAGGACTGTATAGAATCACAGAATCATTTGGGTTATAGTAGACCGTTACAATCATCGAGTCCAACCATACCATTCACATGGTTCACAGAGAAGCAAGGTCCTCAGAGAAATGACCAGAAAGGACACGGTCAGCGCTTCTTGGTATTTGCAAAGAACATTTTGCCGTTAGTCTGACATTTGCAGATTGCACAGGAATCAGATAAAAGATGCGCACCACATAAAAACCTGACGCAACTCAACATTGAAGGTTTAGCTTGAGCAGCTCGGACTCCTTGATTTTTAAAGCTCTCTGTGTGACCCACAGAAGCAACATCCCTTTTCTCTTTCATCACTTTTCAGCTGCTCTCAGACCCAGTGGAGCTGTCTGAAAGGCAATGTGCACAGCAGATCGGTCTGACCAGCTGGGAGACGACGCTACGACGGCTCAGACTTGCACTGCAGAACTCGGCAGCTACTCCCCAGCTTTTGGACTCTAAGGAGATCACCCAAGAATCGCATCTTGCATGAACTAATTCATTCACAAGCGAAGCGCAGGACAACACGAACATGCAGGAGCATGTGAACAATAAAGCAAACCCTTCCTTACTGCTGACGACTAAAGCTGTGGGAGGAGGATGCTCTCAAAGCCTCTAAGCTGGACTGTGTGTTACCATTTTGATTTAAACACCATCTCGGCAGAAAACCTACTTTCAGCTTATGAAAGAAAAAAACCCACTTTTTTTTTATTTTTAAAAAATATCTTTAGTTGAAATACAGCTCTGCAAGTCCCACATTCCTTAAGCAAGGGCATGTGAATACGAGCATGAATCTCATGTCTCCAGGAACTTCCTTGTGCCCGATGTTGCAGAAAAGGCAGGTGGCCATCGTTACCGAGTCCCTTGGTCTTTCCCTGGCCTCCGGTCAGCTGTGACCTGAACCCCTGGTCAGTTTAGGCACCAAACGGGTGATACTGTCAGAGCTCGGGGTTTTTTTGCATTTAAACAGCAGCACTGAGAAAACAGTACAACGAAATCTTAGCTGATCCGCAGGGAAATTAGTTAGTCCAATTCCCCAAGATTCTTATAAAAAGTCACCCTTGGTGCCTACACCCTATAAATAGTTATCTGTAATGCCAGCAGGGAGGTTTCTCTAAATTCATATTTTAAGTTGACTGGGTTGTGAGTTCTGGAATGGTTTGTTCCACCAGGAAAGAAGGGAAACGACAAGCTGCAATTTTGTTCTTTCATTCACGAAAACAATCCAGATATTTATGCGTCACGCAAATGTGTGGCTCTACGGTAAAATCAAGCAGGTCTCAGCACCACGTGCAGAAAGACAGCTGAACAGTCACAAAGCCAGATAGTGCTAAAAAGGAGCTCTCGAAAGCTTCAAGGCAGAGCCTCAAGCAGATGCCAGCTTAGGTCAGAAAGCACCAACCATAACAACTGTTTTACTGATTTAGCTATTCCCCATCCTCACCAAGAAGAAAGCTGAAGCAAAGTGTGTAAATGAAGTTTAAATAGTTTCAGGCTTCTTTACGAGCTATTATTAACTTTATTCATGAGCCTCTCTCTTTGTTGCGACGTTCTGCAGCTGAAGGTTATTGCACTGCAACTTCCTATATTTAATCGGACCAGCTTTTCCCAATCCCCTAGAAAGTACGGCGAGGCAGGAGGGGCTCTCTGATCTCCTGGTCCTCTTTGACGCCGCGGCACCACATATGACTGAGCTTCCATACTCAAGGATCACATTAACCCTCCTCGCTTTATGCTGCAACAGCAACTTAGGTGCAGTCGCGTGTACCCTAAATCCCACGGAAGAGCCTCGCGCTGGGGAATCAGGTTGGCTGCTTTTGCAAGAGCAAGCCTGCATTCACCTTTTTTTGGTACAATTTTGCATCTGACTGAAAATGTGCTCCTTTAAACAGTCCCAAGAAGCCCAGGCTTCTTTCATACACTTGCTCTATCTTCATTATTACCCTGCTTTGCCCAACAAGTGATATTAAAATCCCTATTTATGTTCAGATCATTAGAAGGTGCCTAAACTCTGCTAATTCTGAAAGGAAATTATTCAGCTCTCAAACCCAGGAACATCTAAACACTAAATACATCTCAGTTCACAGCAGTAAAATAACCCTTGTGCTTAAAATTCCAGCGCATTGGGTAATTACAGCAAAAAGCACGTGTTTTTAAAATTATGTTTAAAATGTAGTTTCCACTAGTGCCCAGTATTGCTACCTTCAATTTTCAGGTCTTTTGCAATGAAGACCTTATTATAAATTAAATATCAAACACGTGGTTTGGTTTGGTTTTTTTCCTGAATTACTCTGATTTCAAACCAAACAACTCTGTCAACATTTAACCTGTGAGCAAAGGGTCCTGCTCTCCGGAGAGCTGAGAGGCAGAACTTGTCAGGGCAAAGTTACCGGCTTAGGAGCTGAAGTCTGTGACCACACTTAATGACCACGGGGCTGGGAATTAAACCCAAACATTTAACATCGAGCTTGGATTGGAGCAAATGAGCCCACGAACTCTTCTAAATGTCCCCGCCCCCTCCAGTCCCTTAGACTGCATTGCAGCAATTAAATTTCAATTTAATGAAAATGTGAATGTCCTCCTCCATCGATCTTTGGATGAGCTCTCACTGGCCTACATACAGCTCATCCTGGGAAACTGAGCCGCTTGCACAAATAAGGGACTAAACCCTTAGGAAATTTGTTGAACTGAAGAATAAACAAAATATCCATAAGACTTGATTTTCAAGGGCACGAAGCATCCACAGCCTATGCTTCAGAATACTAAGTGTGCCTGAAAATTGGGACATTTGCTTCTTTTTTTTTTCTTTTTTTTTTTTTTGCTGTTACATGCTGCCTCAGCTTCCTTGCCCTTTACCTCACCTCAAGCATCAAAACATTGTCGACGTGGTTTTTACAGGGGGGTACTGAGAGCTCATTGAAAATGGTGTGTCCAAGTACCTTCAAGTTAAAAAAATGATCTGTCAGCTCTTAACCTAACTTCAAAATATGACGCCTCCAGCAAGGCTGAATTTTATACCTGCAGTCAGGGAATTGTTTGGGTTGGAAAAGATCATCAAGTCCAAATGTTAACTCAGCACTGCCAGGTCCAACTAACCTGTGTCGTGAGCACCCCATCTACAGGTTTCGTGTTTTTTTTATTAAATACCTGCAGGGCCAGCTGGTTTGTCGAGTGGTTAGAAGTGTGAGAAAATAAATCTGCTGGGTAAAAGCTGTCTGCTGGGTGTGAACTGGCAAAGCCTACAAGCAAGGCAGGGTTTGACCCCATCGTCACAGAATCACAGAATGTTGGGGGTTGGAAGGGACGTCAAAAGGTCACCCAGGGCAGCCCCACAGGAACGTGTCCAGGCGGTTTGAAAAGTCTCCAGAGCAGGAGCCTCCACACCCTCTCTGGGCAGCCTGGGCCAGGGCTCCGGCACCCGCACAGGGAAGGAGTTTTTTCTAGTGCTTTTGTGGAACCTCCTGTGCTTCAGCTTGTACCCATTGCCCCTTGTCCTGTCACTGGACATCACTGAAAAGAGCCTGGCTCCGTCCTCCTGACACTCCCCCTTGACATATTTATAACCATGAGTGAGGTCACCCCTCAGGCTCCTCTTCTCCAGCTGCAGAGCCCCAGCTCCTTCAGCCTTTCCTCCCCAGGGAGATGTTCCATCCCTCCATCATCCCTGGGGCTGCGCTGGGCTCTCTCCAGCAGTTCCCTGCCCCTCTGGAGCTGAGCGGCACTGGCCCCCTTCCCTGAGGAGATGGCACCACCAAGCCCTGCTTTGCTCTAAGAAAAGCTGCGCTCACCCGGTCTTCCTCTTCTCTGACGTCTGGCATGGTGCTGATGCAGAGGCTGACTGCGGTGATGGCCACAAAAGAGATGGAAATGCAAGCAAAGATCTTTCCCGGGATCCCCGAGTGGGGGTTTTCCACCATATCCCTGAGCTTTCGCATGCACAGACTTAGTCGGCTTCTGTCCTGGAAGGCACATTGCGTGGGTTCACTAAACACCATCTCCCCTTCGTACAGCTTGGCCTCAGCTGCCTCCTCCTCCCTCTGCCGCAACCTTTTTTTGCAGCACCTCTCCAGGTGGTCCTCTTCTATCCCCCAGTACACAAGCTCCTCCTGAAAAGAAAGAGCGCACATCTCCCTGAGAAGCCTCAGCTTCCCGGCTGTCAGGAAAGTCATGATGGTCCTGAAGGCACTAGGGTTACGGTCAAAGAAAAATTCGTTGCAGCTAACGTCGTAGTCGTCGCAGACGTTCATGATCTCGTCGTAATTGCTGCACGATCTCAGCTTCCCAAGCCTGGTCAAGGGGCAGTTCTCCAAGGTGGTCCATGGAACTTTGTATTTAATACCGCCGACGTTGATGATCACAAACCTGGTCCGGTCATCCAGGCGGGCTAAGCAGCACAGGTCTTCCCCAGGGCGCAGAAGCTTGGCCTTCTTGTAGAAGAATCCTTTCTTGGTTTGCACTTCACACAGGTTTTCCAAGTTATTGAAGGAGTAGGAGCTGAACTCCGGATCCGCGTTCCCGGTGAGCAACGCCATCTTGGGATACTTCTGTTGAGTCCATAGGGAGAGCGAGGCTACTCAAACGTGTGCATCTGGAGCTTGGCTGGAGAGTCAACCTGCAAAACAGAATTTTAAAATTACAATGAAATTAGGGCGTCGCTAGACATAAACCAATCCCATCCTCTCAATCCCAAGAAACCTTTCTCAATGATGCCCTTTTCTACCCTATTATTTTAGGACAACCTTTGCTTGATGGCTGCTTGGGGAAAGAACTTAAGTTCCAATATCGTTAGAAGCCATGTTGATACTTCTGGAGGGTTTAGTCAGTGAATGAAGGGAAAAAACCAACGGTGTAGTATCATTTTGAGGAATTTCTTTTCTAGAGGTTCAATCTATATCCTGGAAGGCAATGGATACTGAAAGGGAAAATGTCTCTTTTCGATAAAGGGCAAATTTACATTTTAGCAACTTAATAAAGAAACCTAGTCACAAATGATTTTTTAAATTTTTATTTTATTTTATCACAAATTATGCACATTATGCGTCAACCCAGGACTTAATTTTTGCCTTCTGCTTACCCCTCTTTCATCACACCACAATCTGCACCTCTCCTGAACACGAATTTTCCCTTGCCACATTACTTCTTCACCTTCTCCAGAGCTCTCCACCCAGGTTCTCCAAAGCTGTACCACGAAGTCCTGAAATGCTACTATGTCATCGCATTAGTGAATCACTCAGAAGTTCCCAAATTGCTCACATATGAAGCAGGAAACAAGTAAACAGCGTAGGGCTGTTGGGACTCCACACAAAAGACATGGACTAAGAACGGATGCACCAATGGGAAACAACCTTAAGTAGGGGATGCAGAAGCCTTACAAGTTGCCAGAAAACAGGAGGAAAAAGCTACTCTGACGTTACTGATGACATGAAGCTGTAGCTCCATAATCTGCCAGCAACATTCTCCAATTCCCTTTGAATCTTATGCCTCAGCCTGGAGAGAACACGGAGCAAGTGGGTGGCAGGGAACACCAGAGAGCAAACACATTCAAACACACTCCGAGAGCAGCATCTTCCTTTACCCATAATCAACTCACAGGCTCTTAACTCATCAGCCCTAGTCAAAACAAACTCCAACAGAGAGTGGTGAACAAACCCTTGCTTCTCACAGCCCTGAGTCACTCTCGAAATATTCTTACCCACCACACTCAAACAAGCAAATCACAGCAACAGCAGTGGCGCTCCTGCTTCAGCGTTTCGGGGAGGATCCAGGCACTGAATTTTAAAAAGACATTTACACTGGTTGTTTCCAAAAAGTCAGAAAAAAGGGCTGGTTTACATACCAGCCTCTGTTTGCTTTTTTGCCGGTGAGATAAAATACACATCGTGGAAGTATTCTGAATCTAATCTTCTTCCAAGAAGCAGCTCACTCAGTGTGAAAAATCTGTAAGCATGTTGTTTGTTGCAAAACTTCTGAAATACAGAGGGCTAGCCTTCTATTTTGTGGATATAAAATAACTGTGATTAAACTAAGCTTACAGAAGCAGCTATTCATCTTTTTTCTATCACCAGTGGATAAATAGAAAGCGATAACAGAAGTAGTTACAGATAGGATTGCCTGTGGTTTCAGAAGTCGATCGTGTCAGTATTGGCAGCATCAGATGCTGGGATGCAGTTGCTGAAGTGACTTTCCTGATGTCTGGCTGACCCCAGAATCCGCAATAATATATATGATTCATTGGCAGCATCTCTTCTGGAAATCTCAGCTTAAAAGATAAGCACATGAACGGCGTTGTACTCGTTATTCTCCGTGGCACTTCCATGAGGTGGTCGACCGGAGCTCAGGTGCCAGTGAACAGGGTGGCAGAAAACCTGTGCTGACACTTGCACTGTCCTACAGAAATCCAGACCACATCACTGCAGGCTCCCAGTTTGGCACCTCTCTCCAGAAGTAAAATAAGCCTGGAGGGTTTGCTTCTGATCTTATGCGCATGGAATGTTTCACGACCCTCATTTCAAAATTACGCGGGTCCAAAAATACTCTCTGCATGCCAAGGTTGTCTAATGTATGCGCATGCCTGCGGTCAAGCATCCCATTGAAGATTAACTTTAAAAGCCAATACTTCCAGAAATGATGCTGCATTATCATCCAGTTGGCATTTCTACCATTTAATGTGACACATGGGTGCAAGAAAGACTGTTAAAACAGTCTGGAATAAGCTGCTCGTTGCAGGGACACGGGACAGAATTTCACTCTATATTTGTCGTTCACCGTTTTAAAACGCTCTCGGAGAAGCGCCGCACAGATGTTTTGGGTTAATGATCATACACAGGGTGGGTCGTACATATTGTGGATTGTTTTTCAAGTAGAGTCAAACAATTTTTATTCATCAAGAGATACTTTCTTTGGCCATCTATGTATGTATATGGGTATGTCTATCCCCACACCCGCTAAGTTCAGTCAAATTCTACCATGAGCATGCAGCTGAGATCTTTACAACACAGGTATTTCTCAAAGATTTTCATAGAATCACAGAACTGCCAGGGTTGGAAGTGACCTTAAAGACCATCTCGTTCCAACCCCCCTGCCATGGGCAGGGACATCTCCACTAGCTCAGGCTGCCCAGAGCCCCATCCAGCCT